CTCTTCCTAAGCATGAAAAAGAACATTCCAACATAACCAAATTTTACCATACAGTTCGACTTGGAAGTCATTAAGGAGAGGAGAAATAGTTTTATATATAGTAGAGAGGGAAAAGTACGGTTTCAAAAAGGCCATTAAATGTGCAGGTAAAAGTCCTCTAGTGAGCCAAAGACAGGATGGAAAAGGGGTTTCATAATCCCAACAATCTAAAGTAGAAAATTCAGTTTGAAAGAAAATATCCAAAGATTTCAAGGACAAAAACGAAGATAAATAGAGGTCTCTAAATTTGATGACTTCGGAACGATGTGTTAGACGTGGGTTAAGATCAGGTAAAATATAAGGACAAGTCCAAAAATGATTCAAGTCTTCAGGAGCGGAGTAACATTGCGGACAGAACCAATCCAGAGAGTATAGGTGAGGCATACGTTGTTGTAAAGTAGTCAAAGTTGGCAACATATCCAAGAGAAGTTTGATATGGAAGATCCAAAATTCAGGACGACCATTCTTGTGCGAAGCGAAACCTTTAATCTGCAAAAGGCAAAAATGTATACCAGCCCAGTCAAAGAGTGCAGGAGAGCCAAGTGCAGTAAAACGCGCCATAGTACAAAATGATAAAAAAGCACAAACATCAGCCATGGAGCGTATGAAATGACGAATATTCATGTCAATAGGCAAAGAATTAAAAGTCAATAGACATGGAACGTGACAGAAGGCCAAAGGTGAGAAAGTAGGTTGTAAAGACGAATGAGCACTTTTAGCCAAAGAATTCGCTTGTATATTGTAAATGTCATCGCCATGAGCAGGGACTTTAATCAAATTGACTTTAAGATTGCGATCTATGATAAGTTGTCGAATAGAAAGCCAAAGAAGATGATTGGGTTCACGAAGCAACTTCGGTGAAAAGGGAGCAGAAACAAAACATTTCCATAGCGAGATAAGCTGACTACAGTCAGTATAAATGGAAATTGAAGAGTTATGGGAAAGAGCGTTTAGTCCTAATACAACGGCATAAATCTCAGAACGCAAAGCTGAAGGAAAACATGAAGGGAGGCACAAAGATGAAGAGTCAAGAATAATTCGTCATCATCAAGAGCAAGCCAAGCAGAAGTCATAGAAGGAGGAAAGGAGTCCTTAGCAGACAAGAATGAACCATCAGTATACATAGTATGCACAGAAAGAGGCAAAACATCATCGTCTTCAATCCTTGATGTAGAAGGAGAGGAATTGGCGGAGGGATCAGATGAGGACAAATTTGTCAATTGTACAAAAGCCAGGGAAGTAGCATAACTCCATGAAGTAGATAGAGTTATAGGGAGATAAGCCGCAAACACTTTAGCATTTCTGGTAGGATAACCCACCGTTTCAGATAAAGCGACATTAAAGAAACACTTTTCGCTATTACAGCGCTGTTTGATTGCAGATTTTTTGGATAGAGCAGGTATATTAAAAGAACAACCAGGACAAGGATTATAGGATCGTTCATCGGCTGAAGTAGATACAGGAAGCCAATGAGACATGATAGCAGAGTTTTGTTTCTTATAGGTGATACAAATACGGCCAACAGATAAAGTTCGGGTAGCAGAATTAAAATTAATAGCCCATTGAGGATAAAAATGATAATCTTTAACAGTATGATCTAATAAGCAAGGTGAAGCTAAAACAAAAAAAGAATTAATAAAATACAAAGACAAAAATAAAGAAGAAGAAGAAGAAGAAAGGAAATTATTATTAATAAAATTAAACCAAGTAGGAATTCGTCCTTTGCGACCAACGATACTAAGGTAACGAAGATTAGACCAGTTCATAAGATAACGTCCACAAGGGGTGGCCAGTTGAGCAAGCACAAAAATATCCAAATATTTCCAGAGTTTCCAAGTAGTCCAGAAAATCGAATGTGGTAAAACTAATCAGAGCGACAGAGCTTGTTGTAAATCCTGCCTCAGAGGTCGGAAAGGAAGGGACCATGTGATATTCAACCACGAAGAAAATAGAATCGAATTGAACAAAGTATGTGTTTGGAGAGAAACAACTTGAGACCAGGGTTCCAAATTAATAATAGTCGGGCAGCTTTCAGCGCCTAGATATCCTTGAAGATAAGAAATAGCATAAGAGGCAAATTTCCTGAAAACAGGATATGTAAATATTTTTTGCCAAGATGCAATGTGGGAGGAAAGGAACTGATAAAAGGCATTTTGAATTGAAAACGAAAGTTTAAGATATAACAAAACCAATGGAGTGGTCAGAGCAAGGCCAGCCTTTTTTCTTAACACCGAGAATATGGGTTGAACAATCGATTGAATTGTATTTTCTGAAAAAAGAGTAGTTTGTAGACGAAATTCCAATCTTGGAAGAAGAACAGCATTATATAAATAGGTCACATGTTGCGCCAATAACTTTTTTGGACCAAGAAGAGTAGCCATATCTTTAACCATAGAGCGTGCTTGTTTAAGCACAAATTGAGAAGAAGCGGATAAAGAAAACCAAACACCTAAAAAATGAAATGAAGTGTTCAAAGCTAAAGAGGAAAGAAAAAGGGAAGTTTCAGCAATTAAAGAGGAGGGTAAAAGATTAAAAGTAATAATCAATGAAGGGGAGGAGGATGAAAGTAGAACATATTTAGCCGAATTAGCTTGAACATTATTTAAAGTATAAAATTCAGCAGTAATGGAGAGACGATCCTCAATTCCAGACTTTGAAGAAGCAATGAGTGTGGAGTCATCCATAAATGTCAAATGTGAAATTGGTAAAGAATGTTGTTCAAATTCAAGTGGAGAATAATCTAAAAGAGCTGAAGATTTTAAAATAAAAAGATCTCGTGCTTCTTGATTCAAAACAGTAAGTAGGGGATCCAGGTAAATAACCCAGAGTAAGGGGGAAATAATTTCTCCTTGATCGATACCAACACGTACTCGATAAGCAGCAGTATCGCCATGATAAGTAATAATTTTATTATTACGTTGTGTAAAAAGATTTAAAATAAATTTTACTAAAAGTGCCGGAATGTGTAATCTATCTAAAGCTAATTTAAGCATATTCAAATCCATAGAATCAAAAGCTTTAGAAATATCTTGAGAAACGATTCATAGTTCCTGATCATCAGTAAAGTCATATTTTTGTTAATGGATAATCGCATTAAGCATTTTAATAGGGACATCAGTAGAACCACCAGGTAAACCTGCGAAGTTTCCTCCTTGAAGGACATTATTGTCGGCAAGGATATTAAAGAGACGGTTAGTGACGACCTTAACTACACATTTTCGAACTGTTTCCAGAAGAGTAATAGGTCGAGTGTTCTTGAGCTGAGCATCAAAATCATGAGGTTTGGGAATAGGGTAAACCACGGCTTCACGCCAATCAGCAGGAATATCACCGCGAGAAAGGCAGGTATTGGCAAGTAAAAGAGAGAAATCCAAGGCTTCTCCGGACAAATGTTTAATCATTTCATAAGAAATTTTTGAAGGGCCAGAAGCTTTATTATTTGGCATGGAGGAGATCACATCAGACCATTCTTGTAAGGAAATAGACGCCAAAACAGGATTATATAAAGAAGCGGACACACCGGAAAGAGGAGTGTAAGCTTGTTGCCATCGAGCAGGAAATGAAGCAATAGAAGAATATCGGACCAACGGAATAGAAACAATCGATTGGAAATAAGTAATAGCAGCTTGCTTAATATCCGAAGAATCCGTTAATAAGGTAGGAGTAGAGTCTAAAACAACCAAGACGTGGTCAAGAACAATCGTAGGGATTGGAACCGGTTAAGGTTAACCGGTTAATTAACCGGTTAAGGCAGTTAACCGGTTAAGACCTCTCAAAAAATGGTTAACCGGTTAATTTAACCGGTTAAATTAACCGACTAATTAACCGGCTAACTTAACCGGTTAAAATACAGATCATCCTAAATTAGTAATTCCTAGCCAACTTCTAACTTTAACTTTACTAGCATTAACTTTAATTTTGCCCACCCTAATAGATTCGATGATAAACCTGCAATCTTATATTTTAATATAATATATTGCATATGATATTTATAATTTAACATTGTTTATGTTAAAATATTCTAAAGTTATAACCTTGATTTATGCAGAAATCAGCATATGATCGGGTATAGTATTTTAAATAAGAAAAAATGCAAAAATTTGAATACTACAGTGGCCATCAGAATTGGAATGGAATTTCGGATAGAACTAAAAATATAATTAAAAAACTTTTCAACTTAGTGCTGATACTGGTGACCACTGCATGACTGGGTAGTAAGTAATTACAATATACTGTATGTAATTTTTTACTAATGTATACATTTTAATATAAATATTTACCAGAAATTACTCTTAAATAATACTATTTAGTTAAAACACAAAAATTTATCTTTAAATGCGCGTTAAAATACAAAAAATAGGCCTCTAAACACACGTTAAAATATAAAATTTATATATTAACCAGTTATTAACCAGTTAGCATCATTACAAATTAACCGGTTAATTAACCGATTAATTAACCGACTATTAACCGGTTAGACGCTCTAATTAACTGGTTATTAACCGGTTATAGATGCCATCGGAATTATTTTTACGGTTACGGCATGTGCCGTATCACCGTAAAAAAAAGCCGCAAATCGTAAATGCCATAATGCCGTAATTTAATTTGACGCCGTAATGCCATAATTTAATTTGGTGCCGTAATGTCGTAAATTTACATGGCGTAAATAGATAATTAAAAAATAATTCATTTACATTTATTTTTAAGAAACTTCAAATTCTCTCTTTTTTTTAGGAACGATATCACTAAGTGGAAAAGGATTTTCTTTGAAATTTACTTTAAGAAATGACATTTAACTTCGTTTCTTATTCTTTTTTTTTTATTTACTAAATGTAATCAACTAAATATAATGTTTATTTATATAATTAATTTTATTCACTAATAATTATAATGTTTATTTACTAATTATCATGTTTTATAATGTTATTTAATACTAATTATAATGTAATTTCATTTACATTGTTTACTAATCTGTTTCCGATTCTTAATCAAATATTGCTTCAAAATCAATATTTGAATCCTCATAATTTATAGATTCATCAGGTTGTTGGTCCGAAATATTTGAATTCGAATTATCATCATTTTGTTCGTTAAAACTATCTAAATTCATGATATTTTCCATAATCAAATCATTAGTATTAGCATCATCATCATTCAAATCAATACTTTCATCATCCAAAACAATATCATCATCATCAATGAAAATATCATCATTATTAATCATAGCTGTAGTAATTTCTTGTAATGCAGTTTCAAGCTCATTTTCACTTAAATCACTACTAGAAAATTTTAACTCTGATTTTGCATTTGTAATATAGTAGGAGTGCATTTGAACCATGGATTGGAGGCGATCAATATCTAACCTAAAAAAAAAAAAAATTATTAATAAATTAATATTATATTATTACTGTTATTAAAATTAAACAAATACCTTGTTCTCCGCTTTCCTATCATCCAATTTAATACTGAAAAGGCTCGTTCACATGCAGCTTGATGAGGAGTAATAGCAAATAACTTTAAAGCTAATTTTTGAATATAATTATTTGGCTGTCGACAAGTTGACCACCAAAGTTCAGGCGTATCATATTCATCAGTATATTCCATATCATAAGGTGGTTCATTATCACCATATGATCGAAGTTGTGATAGCAAAATTTTGCAACTTCTTTTATCACTACCAAATTTTGACCAAATTTTCATAGCAGTTAATGCCATTTGACGAAATGTACTGTCTTGAAATTTCTTGTCTAATATGAAAAGTAGGAACAATAAATACATTATATTTAACAAATAAGTTAGAAAAATAATCAACTTTACCTCTATATCTTGGATGGAGGAAAAAGGCAACAAGATATGTATCAGTATCAAACTGTGCCCAACGTTTATTAAATATGTTAATACAATTCTTTTTGAAATTTGGATCAAAATAATTTGAAATCTTTTTAATTTCAACTGCCATCTGAATTAATTGCAAAAAAATTGATGCCATATTACTCGAATTAGCTTCAACAGCTTGAATTGCTTTTTTAGCAGGTGCAAGAATTGTATGAAGTTGTTCAACATCTTGAAAAAACTGGCGATTTAGAAGAAGATTTTTTATTGCTATTGCATTAATAAAAATTTCAGTTTGAGTTTCAAAAACCTAAATTATAATCCAAAAATAAATATTATTAATTTTAGTTTATTATTAAATATGTTATTATTTGTTAACTTAAATTTTTGAGATTATTTTCCAAACGGATAATTGAGTCACAACAAGTCCATGCAGTAGACCACCTTGTTTTTACTGATGTCTTAAGGCCACCTCCTTCTGTTAAAGTTTGAATAATATCTTTTTGGAAATTTGCACCTGCACGATATGATGTTTTAAAAAAAGTTATAATAGATTGGCATTTTTTTAATGTGTTTATTGCAAAATCCAATTTAATAATATCACTTGAAACTAAATTCAAATGGTGTGCCATGCATCATATAGATAAAATATGGGTGTACTTTTCAGTAATTAGTCTTCTCGCCATTTGCATTGCTGATTCAGCATCTGATACTACAGCTGCAAATTTTTCTAGGCCAATTGAAGTCAAAACTTTTTCAATTTCAGTAGCATTAAAAGTTCCAGTATGAGAATCCATTGATGTATCTTTCAAAGTATGAATATATTGCCTTTTACTTGGGGTAATTATTATAAATGCATAAATAGATCTTCCTAAAGGATAACACCATACATCAACCGATATAACAAAATTAAAAATATTAATATATATGTAAAAATATTAATTAATTTGATATACAGTAATTAAATAAATTACCTAATGTTAAATTTTTTTCATATTTGAGTTCTTCTTTGATTTTATTTAAAATTATAGCAGTTTCATGATTTAAGAAAGTTGTTGATAGGGTTGTTCTTTTAGGAGGACCATAAGCAAAACAGAGACTTTGAACAAAATCAATAAAATAAGGATGACCAACGGTTGAGAATGGTATTCCACAGCAAATAAAAAATCGTATAAGTGCTTGATCAATTTTATCTTTTCTATCCACAGTAAGCTCAGCTGATGAATCAGAATCTGTTTTTTGTTTTCTATTCATAGTAGATGTAGTTCCAACAGCCAGCATTTCCATATATTCTGTTTTAATATATAGTGGAACATCTTTACAATACAATGCTAAATGTGACTTCAAAATTTCTGGTTTTCCTCTAGACCAGTTTTGATTACAGTAATGACATCTAGCTGTGTAATGCACACTACCCAATGGTTCTTTAAAATAATGATCCCAGACATGTGATTCTTTACGACCCCTACTAACTTCTCTAATATTTTGATTATCAAATAAATCTGTTGAATCCATTTTTACAGTCACAAAGATTATGTAAAAGCAAAAACGTAATACACAATTTGTAAGATTATTTAAGTTAAAAAAAAGATTATCAAAATCGTGATTCATGTTACACATCAACTGATTAAAAGTCTATGTAACACAAAATATTTTTTATTTCGTAATAATAAAAAATTTCAAAAATTTCTAAGTTGTTTGATTTGTTTCAATTTTATTTATCAATGGTTTAGACATTTGTCCAAGCTAGTTCAATTCCAACAGGTAACTAGATAATGTTCCTAAAGAATGAAGGAATGAAAGTTAATAATATTTCTTAAAAGTAAATGCAAGAAACTTTCCTCTGCTTACCATAGATTCGTCAATGATTGAACCATTCCCTACCTACAAAGTTCTTCATGTATCTTATTTAGTTCTTTGTATTTTGTACAAATTAACGTATTAATAAAAATAAAAATAAAAACATTTTATATACATTCTATTGTTGGATTACTTTTTATTAGACGTGTTTTTTGCATACATTATTATATAAAAATAAGCACATTTTTATATACGTACTATTGTTGGGTTACTTTTTATTAGACATGTTTTTTTTTGCATACATTATTATATAAATGTTAAGAAAAATCCTCTCCACTTAACCATGAAGTCGTCCAAGAAGTCCACAAAAATTGTTCTGAAAAAAAGAAATAAATTTAGTTGTTGTTTTTGACAGTAAATATCAAAAACAACCTCTTTCCACTTACCAGAAAATCCAAGAAATCCTGCAAGAACTGCTTCTAAAAAAGAAAAAAGAAAGCGAAGTTAATGTTGTTTCCTAAAGTAAATGTCAAAAAAAAAAAAATCCTTTACTACTTACTAGGAGGTACAAGAAGTCCACAAGAACTGTTCCTAAATACAAAGAAAAAGAAATGAAGTTAGTTAATATCATTTGCTAAAAGTAAATAAAAAAAAACCTTTACCTACAGGAAGTCTGGAAAATATAAGAAAATACTTCTAAAAATAAAAAAAAAGAAGTTAATGATATTTCAGAAAGAACTGTCTCTAAAAAAAAAGGTGCGCTGTAAACATTTTTTTAAAAAAAATATTTACGGCATATATATTTGCGGCATTACGGCACTAGATTAAAATACGGCATTACGGCGTCAAATTAAATTACGGAATTACAGCATTTACGATTTACGGCATTTTATTACAGTTACGGCATGATTTACGACATATGTCATAACTCCGAAATGTCATAATTAGGGAATTCTGACGATATCTATATAACCGGTTAAGCTTTTTTTTGACGGTTCCAATCCCTAAACAATTGAATGTTTTTCTACTAATAAGGCAGAATCTATAAAAGTGTTAAGCGAGTTCGAAAAATGTTCGTCACGTAATGCGGTGTAGTATTCCACAGAATCCATAAAATGTTGGGCGAATTTAGTAGATAAAAAGGCAGAAACTAAATTCTTTTGTGATCGTAAAAAGGATTTGAATTCTGATACAAAAGTAGTCGAAAAATTAGGAACTGAATAATCAGGAAGCAAAGATGCAAGATTCTTCAGATGAAAAGGTAAAGCTGTAATCATCTGCGAAATTTGAGAGGGCCGATTAGGATGACGAGTAGTAAGGCGATATAAAAGTCGATCTAAAAACTTGTTAATGACAATAAGTTTAGTTAATTCAGGGGAATATGAATGTCGATATGTGTTGGAGACTTTACAAAATAGTAATGTTGCAATTGCAGCACTAAGTATGGCAGCTTTCAAGGCATGCTACATATGATCAAGAGAAAGAGAAGAAAAATCAAGACGAGAATTATATTGTCTATCTAAATACACTCCAAGAGAATCGTCCACCTCAGCAGTAAAATTATTCCATTGTGCAACTGAAGTGAAGGTATAAGAGAAAATAGTACGCATTTCTTTTTTCTATTTAAGACGAGACTTAGCCAAAATGGCCAAGCAAGAACTAAAGTCAAAAACGGTTGTGAGAACTTTGTGATCAGTAAAAGGGCGATCTAGAAAATTTGGGCAAGCAATCACTTGCGAGAAGAGGCCAGGAGCAGGAAAACCAGGTGAAGACCAGATATAATCCAGTCGAGAGGTGCCATTAGTATAATAAAAGGTAGGATCAGGACCATCAAGTGAGGAATAAGCTTGATGATCGGTAAAAAACCAAAAAGAAAGTAAACGAAGGAGTTTGAAATGATTGGGTGAATAATTGGAATGGGCGATTTCATCAACATTGAAGTCGCCAAGAATGACTACATGATAGTTATTAACATGGGCATGATCAAGCCAAGAAAGAAGTTTGGCAATAAGATCATTACAAATAGAGTGATGAATAGAACCAGAAGGAGGGTAGTACAAAGAAATAATAGAAATTTTCGTTTGATGAAAGAAAAGATCTAATTTAAGAAGGCGACCATTCCAAGAATCAATAGTTTGAACATGTTTATGAAGGGGATTACGAAGCAATATACCAACACCGTCATGAAGACGAAAAGAGGTCGAACAGGCCCAATAGGACCTAAAATGATGCTGGAAATGTTCGTTTTTGAAAATAAATTTAGTATTTGAAGGGAAGAGACGAGTGTCATTCAAAGATAAAGCACCAAAGGAAGAGTGAAGAAAGAAATTAAGCAAATGTTGTTGTCGAACCAGGGAACATAAACCATTAACATTAATTTGACCAAATTTAATAAGGGTAGAAGGGTGAGGAGAAAAATTATGTTTTTTGTTGTCTATCATTACTACACTATGATAAAAAGCGTAAGTAGTAAAGGAAAATAATTGGTATGCAATAATTATTGGAAGTTCGTATTATCGTGAGCAGCCAAGAATTGTTTTTGTTGAGCCATGCCTTGTTGAACCGTTTTTGTGAGTTCAGTAACTGTAGCAGTAAGAGAGGAAAGGCGATCTTGTGGTAAAGTGGCAGGACCAGGGATCAGACTCATACAGGGAGGAAGAGGAATATGGGAATGAGCGGTAAAGGTAGAACCATTCGATGGTGAAACAGAAGAGCTAAAATCCATGAGGTTGTCACTAAGACGACTAGGATCAGAAGGTTCAATATTGTCCCATCCTTGGTTCATAGATTCAGCCTCAGGGAATGGTGAAGCTTGAGGTTGCGAAAACCTTGGAATTGGAGGAGAAGAATGATGATCTTCCAACCATTTAACACGATATTAGTAATTTGTTCAGTGATATATTGCCAGTCCATTAAAGGCGAAATATTCATTGCAGCCATGTCGTGATCCAAATCAGACTGAAAAGGATGGTGAGGATAACGACGATTATTATGTTGAGAACGTGATCGTGAAGATCTAGGGCGAGACTGAGATCGGAAAGGAGCTCTTCTACCAGCAGCATCAGCATAAGATCTTTGTTGGGAATTATCAGGATGCGCAAAATGATTATGACGTTTAGCAGGATGAGAGGGAGGTAAATGTTTGTTATATAATTCACGCAATTTATCATTGCTAGACCATGGATGAGAGGGACGTTGAGAAGCACGTGACGAGGCACATTTATCTGGATTACAACCGGGTGACCACAACGATGACAAAGAGAGGAGACTTCAGCAGGTTCATGCCAAGTAAAGCCAATAGATTTGAGAGCGCAAGTAATCCCCATAGCCGATTCTTTAGTGGCAGCGGAGGAGAAGTGCACATATGCGTATGGCTTAGGATTATATGAATTGTAGGAGAAAGGAATGTTGACGCTTTTAGCGGAAACTTCTTTGGCAATTTCAGAAAGGTCAGCAGCAATAGAGCCACGCAGAAGACCGGCAAGAAGTGCAACATGGGCACGTCTAACGGTACGTTGGTCAGGTAAATAAGAAGCAGAGCTAAGGTTGCTTGCCGAAACCGTCTTAATAACTGCCGAAACCTATACGGAAAATGCCGAAACTATATTAAATCATATTAAAAATCCTGCCAAAACTTTGCCGAAATGCTGAAACCCCATTTGCCGAAACTGCTGAAACCCTGCCGAAACTATAGTAAATATATAGTAAAATCTTGCCGAAATTTATCGCAGAATTTTGGAGAGGTTTTGGCAAGCAACCTTAAGCAGGGCAAACGCGTAAGCAGTGCCCAGTACAAAGAACAGCCCACGTGGTTTCAAATTGTTCCATAGATGTGGCGGAGTCAAAAACTATATACGCAGTGCAATAGAGTTTTGAAAGGTGTGTTCGGCAGTGGGTAACGATACCATAACGGGAGAAAGTACCCCTTAATTGTGCATCGGTAACAAAAAGAGGGATGTCGGTAACTACCAGGGTACGAAGCTGTTCATCTACCTTTTTAGCAGATGGATCATGTTCGTGGAACTGTAGATCATGCAGGGAGGGGATGGGCGCAGCGATAGCTTTTTCCATATCGGGCTTGAAACGAAAGTAGATAACGATAATTTTAGTGTCGCCTGATCCTTGTGTGGTAGCTTTGCTACCATAAGAAGAAAAAGAGGAGAATTCTCGGTCAGTCGTGTCACAAGCTTCGCGATTGATTTTGAAGTGGGTCCAAAATCCTTCGATAGTAGAGGGCGCAGCCACAGCATAAAAGCGAAGGAGGGAAGATTGTATAGCAGCGATAGACGCGTCAGGAGACGCAGCGCGTTTAGGTTCAGGAGGCAAAATTTCTACAGATTTTCCTTTGTCTGCAGAGTTAGAAGGGGAGTGTTGAGAGTCATTAAGGGAGGTACCAGAGTTAGGAGCTGAAAGGGACGCGTTAGTTTCAACGGGAGGAGGAGACGAAGTAAGAGTAGTTTCCTGGGGAGCAGGAGGAGTCAAAATATTGTCTTGGTCTATAATGGGTTCAGAAGAAACCCATGTACGTTTTGCAGAGTTGTCGGTCAAAGGTTGTGAAGTAGGACCAGGAGTAGAAGCAGAAGAACCTTGACCTTGAACGTTGCCAGAAGGAGGACTCTGGGCAGGACGTTTTGGAGGAGAAGTACCAGAAGCTTTATTTTTTCGACTGTTAGTCATAGCAAAATGTAGAGGGGAGAACTAGAAATATGTAATAG